GGACCCCGACGTCGCGCACAGTAAAAGAGCATCCGGAAGTCCCGCCTCTTCTGGGGGGGCCACGCCCTCCTAGAGAGGCTTTGCTAGTTCAGGACCGACAGCTGTCGCCATTTCCAAGCGCCCTCTTTCAAAATGGCAGCCCGAAGGAAGTTTGCGAGGAGGACGAGCGCGGTGGTCTAACTTAAGGACGTCAGCGCAACTTCCGGTCTGCTTGCAAGATGGCTGCGCCCAGTGTTGGTTTCCAGCCTCGTGCACGGCGTTTTGCAGTGCAGGAGCCGGACTGGGACCATGCGCCGCCTAAGAGGCCCCGGCTTGGGGCAGGAAGCAAGAGCGGAGGCCGTCGGCTCATTGTGGTGCTGGAAGGGGCCAGTCTGGAGACAGTCAAGGTAGTTTGGGACAGGGTGTGGGAGGAGTAGATTGGCTGGTTAGATGCTGTGGGGCCAGCGACACGGAGTGGATGGGAAAAAACTGAGCAGTGACATTGGCTTTTGAAGGATGACCTAGTTTTGAAGATTGTTTTTGTCCTGGGTTGAAAATACTTTATTTTGCTCTTCTTGACTCTCCTTCCAGCCCTCATCTCCGCGCGTCTAGTTAATGCATCAGGGAGTCTGTGATAGAACTTGTTAAGTGAGAGGCATTGTCTATTGAGGTCTCCCACATCCCAAAGGCCAGTTACTTCCCCAGCCTTTTATTCTAAGGATTCGATATTTTATTTTGTTAAAAGGGTTTCTACTCTCAGCTCATTCTATATTTCTGCTTAATTGAAACATGTCTGGATGACTTATTTAATAAACTTTCGTCTTTATTTTTTTAACCAAGCATTCATTTCCCTGGGTGTAGTAAAACGAGCGGTGCCTTGTCTTAAACCTTGTGCAATGTTTTCACACACACCCTTTAAAGTTTTATTTTACTTTTACTTAGGTGTGCAAGTCTGCATTTGGCTGTGAGGTGCTAGGAACTTACCTTGGGTTCTCTGCAAGAGGACTCATTCTTAACACCCCCACCCCCAATCTCTTCAGCCCCTTCATTCTGTCTTTCTTGTGTCTTACCTTTCAGGCCTAGAAACTTACACACATACAAACATACACACATCTCAGTTGGTTTTTGGTCAGGGTCTTGATATGGAGTCCAGGTTGGCCTGGAACTCTCTATTCTCAGCCTCTTAAATATTAGGAATATTTATAGGTGAATTTCATCATTCCAGATCTGACCTGTATTTTAATTTTGGTCCTTAACCCCTACTTAGTAATTATAAGAAAACAAGCTTGCCATCACTTTGTAAAGTGTTGTGTACTAAACCACACAGGAACTCTATTGACAGTCCTATTAAAGTAGTGTTTCTGATAACCCGAGGTGAGAGTTTTTCCCATCTGTTTGTCATTAGCACTTTATTAAACTTGTAGTTATAAAACCTGTTTTGTTTTTTGTTGGCTTGTTTTTCAAGATAGGGTTTCTCTGTGTAACAGTCCTGGCTGCCCTGAAACTAGCTTTGTAGACCAGGCTGGCCTTGAATTCACAGAGCTATGCCTGCTTTTGCCTCCAAGAGCTGGGATTAAAGGTGTGCACCATCACACCCGCTGAAAACCTGAAGCTTTTTCATTAAATGGATAGAGTTTTTGTTTTCTTCAGTAATTGCTATTTCCAGCCCAATGACAGGCATTTATATATTCCTCCCTAAGTAACTGCCTATCATCATCATTTTTGTTGTTGTGTCCCCCCCCTCCCCCCCACAGGGTTTCTCTGTAGCTTTGGAGGCTGTCCTGGCACTCGCTCTGGAGACCAGGCCTGCCTCTGCCTCCCAAGGGCTGGTATTAAAGGCATGCGCCACCAACTCCCAGCAGAGCACTTGCTCTCATAGAGGACCAAGGTTTGATTTCCAACACCCACATTGTGGCTCCCAGTTGTCTGTAACTCCAGGAGATCTGATGACCTCTTTTGGCCTCCACAAGCACTACACCCATGTGACCCAAACATACATGTAGGCAAACAGGTAAAAAACCCATACACATAGAAACAAAAACAAGGGTTGGCGAGATGGCTCAGAGGTTAAGAGCACTGACTGCTCTTCCAGAGGTCCTGAGTTCAATTCCCAGCAACCACATGGTGGCTCCACAACCATCGGTAATGAGATCTGGTGCCTTCTTCTGGTGTGCAGATATACATGGAAGCAGAATGTTGTATATATAATAAATAAATAAAATCTAAAACAAAAACAAAAAAACCCAAACATATAGCTGGGCATGGTAGTACACGCCTGTAATCACAGTACTTGGGAGGCAGAGGTAGGTGGATCTCTGTGAGTTCCAGGACGGTCAGGGCTATATAGAGACCCTGTCTCAAAAAAAAAAAAAGTAATGTATTAAAAATATTCCTAGAGTATATTTTAGAAGAATTTCAGGCCAGGTTATCATCAGTAGTATTTCAAAGGTGATAGATAGCTGGTTGAGATTTTCATTAGACTATATTATCTTTTTTTCTCCCCTTCAGTACTGGGGATTGAACTCAGGGCTTTGAATATACAAAAGACGTATCCTATCACTGAGCTACATCCTCAGCCTCTATTTAATTTAAATTTTCATGTATAGGGTCTCACTTTGTTGCCAAGGCTGGTCTTGACTCTCTAGCTCAGGTTAACCTTGAATTTGTGACCCTCCTGCCTCAGCCTCCTGGGCAGTTGGGATTACAGGCCTGCCTCACCAGGCCCAGCTATACTGTTCTTTTGTCTTTGTCTTAGCACCTCTTGTTTTTGTCCAGTCCACTCTTTCCATTTATTCTTACAGTCTAGCCTCCTTTAAGTTCTTTTAAAATTTAAAAACTATTTTATGTGTGGGTGTTTGCCTGCATGTGTGTCAGTGTACTATGTATATGCCGGATACCCAGGGAGGCTGGAAGTTGTTGGATCCCTTGGATTGGAGTTACAGATAGTTAGGAGACACTGTGGGATCTGGGAATGAACCAGGGTCCTCTGGAAGAGCAGCCAGTGCTCCTAACTGCTGAGCCATCTCTCCAGCCCCCTGTAAGTGTTTTGAAAGCATTAAGTTCTCTTATGCCTTAAGGCCATTGTATGTTAGGCACGGCAAACTCTCCTTATGGTGGTTTTTGTATTACTACTACTTACTTCATTATTGTTTTAACACAGGGTCTTCTCATATAACCTAGACTGATGTAGAATTTGCCATCCTTCTGCTTTTCCCTTAGCCTTCTGGTTGCTAGAATTGTAAGCCAAGGCCACCATGTCCAACTAACTATTGAGTATCTGTTGCTGTTCTATTTTACTTTTTGAGACTGGGTCTCACCCTATACCTATGCTGGCCTGGCTCTTGATGGCCTCTTGAATGCTGGGATTACAGATGTGAGCTCCCACATCCAATTTGTGATGCTGCTTCCTCTTATTAGTGGTTAGACCAAGGAACTGCTCCATCATGGGCTGGGGAGATGGCTTAGTTAGTGGAGTACTTGCCAACCCCAGCACCTATGTAATAAGCATGCTATTGCATGCTTTTAATCCCAGCACTCTTAGACAGGGAGGCAGATCTTTGAGTTTGAGAACAGCTTGGCCTACAAAAAGCAAGTTCCAGGCCAGCCAAGGCTATAGAGAGAGACCCTACCTCAAAAAGTAAAAAAGGTGAAATAAACAACAAAGGAAAGAAAAAGAACCAGCTCAATTTGCAATGCCAACATTGGAGAGACAGGTGAATCCCTAGAGCTCGATAGCCTGCCAGCCTCGCTGAATTGGTGAGCTCAGGTTCGGCAAGGAACTCTTAGAAAAGAAGAGTGATGGAGGAAGATGCCAGACATCAATCTCTGCCCTTCACACGTACACATATCCTACACACACACACACACTCTCTCCCCCTCCCATGTACACATATCCTTCCCCCCCCCCACCAGACATCAGCCTGTCAATGTCACACACGCACAAAGTTGATGTGGACATGTGAGAAATGACAGTGGAATGATGCCTCCTATATACTTCCTGTTGATCCATTTATGAACCATTTCTGCTCATCAGCCTGTAGAGTCATGTGATTCTTTAGTGTGTTTCTTTGAGGGCAGACTGTAAGATGTCAAAATTTCTCTTATATCTTTAATAACTTCTCATAACTTAGCAATGGTTTTCATTCTGATCACTCTAGTTTGTTGTTTTTAGATCAGTACATACTCGTTTCATAAACCATTATCACAATTTACTGTAAGTGAAGTATTTTGATGTTTTCTATTTTGGTTCATTAAAAGAAAACCTGGGCCTGGGCACTTGTTTTGTGCAGAGGATCCAGGTTCAGTTCCCAGCACCCACTTGATAGCTCACAAACATCTGTAACTCCAGTTCCAAGGGATCTGATGTCTTCCTTTGACCTCTCTAAGCACCAGGCATGCAGGCCAAACACTCATACATGTAAAATTAAGTAAATCTTAAAACAAAATCTCCAATTTTACCATACTAATGGACTAAAATTGGATCATACAAAAGGTTCATTTTCTTTTACAATTAAGAGTGTGCTAAGGACTTAGTTCTTGATCATTTGTTCTATTCTGACGTTCTTTTTAAGGTTCCTTTATATTAATGTGTATACTGTGTACTGTGTGTACTACGTGCTCACGTGCTCAGGTGCCTGAGCAGGTGAGTCATTCAGACCTCCTGGAGCAGGAGTTATAGCCAGTAGGTGCCTTTTAGCACCAAGCCCCTATTCCCCCCCCCCCCCCCCCAGACAGGGTTTCTCCGTGTAGCTTTGGAGCCTGTCCTTGAACTCACAGAGATCTGCCTGCCTCTGCCTCCCGTTAAAGGCATGCACCACCAACGCCCGACCAAGCCCCTATTCTTTTTCTTTTTTTTTTTAATATTCATGTGGTGGGGCTGGAGAAATGGATGGCTCAGCAGTTAAGAGCACTGGCTGCTCTTCTGAAAGTCCAGGTTCAATTCCCAGGCTGGTGGGTTATATGGTGGCTCACATATTAACTCCAGTTCCAGGGGATCCAGTGACCTTTTGGCTTCCACTGGCACTGCGTGCATATGGTGCACAGACGCACATATACATGCAATTACATAGAAACAGACGGTATTTGTAACTGCATGTGTGTGTGCTGCATGCATTTATGCAGGCACACATGTACATATAATTACATAGAAACAAACAGTATTTATTTGTAACTGTGTACGTGTGTGTGTGCTGCATGTGTTTGGTTGCTCTTGCAGGCCAGAGTTTTCAGATCCCCTGGAGATGGAGTTCTATAGCCCACCTGCCATGGGTGCTAGGAAATCAAATTTGGGTCCTATCTCTTAACCAACCAACTGAAGTCATCTCATACTATTCAGTTAATCTCAAAACTTAAATCCGCACAATTTTTTTTTTTTTTTTTTTTTTTTTTTTTTTTTTTTTTTTTTTGGTTTTTCGAGACAGGGTTTCTCTGTGTATCTTTGGAGCCTATCCTGGCACTCGCTCTAGAGACCAGGCTGGCCTTGAACTCACAGAGATCCACCTGCCTCTGCCTCCCGAGTGCTGGGATTGAGGAAGTGTGCCATCTATGCCTGGCCCCACAAATATTTCTAAGTGTATTAAATTTTGTCTCTAGACATAAAAAAAAAGCTCTAGTGATACACAGCCTTTCAAAACCCGTGTTTGTACGTAATGGTATTTTTTTGTTTGTCTCAAAAAAATCTCCCAGCATGTGTGTGTTCATTCACTGACACCTGAGGTGGTAGGTTCTCCCCTACTATGTTGGTTCTGGGGAGTGCAGGTCAGGCTTGGTGGCAAGTACCCTAGCCTGGTGACTCATGTCAAAGGCCACGTTGATAACTTCTTTTTGCATGTGGCATGTATGTGTGTACTTGGGCATGTGTGGGGGTCAAACAACAACTCATTGGTTCCCTCCTTCACCATGTGATTTATAGGAACTGAACTTGGGTCTTGGGGCTTAGTGGCAAGTACCCGTGTCCTTGAGCTTTCTCTCCAGTCTTGCTCTTACTGATCATCCTTAGGTCCCTTGAGATTTGAAATTGAAAGTGAGCAGCCCTCACTTGCCCCTTTTATGGTCTGCATAAACTTGTCAGGAGACTACTCAGTGTCGTGTTTTGACACGAGAATTTTTGGCTCTTTGCTCAAGAGGATTCTTGGGTTACAAGGCAATTTCATTTACAGTCCTGGTCCTCCAGCACCTTTCCCATTTCTAGTCCAACCTTTTCCCAGGTTTTTATTTTGCAGTGCTGGGGAGGAAATCGGGGCCCTGCTGAGCCCTCTGCCACTGAGCTACAGTCCACCTGCTGTTTCTCAATGGTTTGTTTGAGGCAAGCTGGCATTTTCCTCAGCACATACATTACTGCTCTTGGGATGAGTCTAGCTCCTGTCTGATTCCTGACACCCACAGGCCTCAAAAACTCAAATGTGGTATGACATGTGCCCCTCCTTTTTGGCTGTAAGGTGCTTGGTTCAGTGTCTGTCTCTAACAGATAAAGCTCAATGTGGCCATATGGTGATCCCCTGAGAAGCTTTCTGGCCCCTACTCAGTGTTTCTGGTGTAGTTCTAGAGCAGGCATGAATTCGTTGTGATGCTGACTGTTCAGGAACCAAACTTGGAGAACTACTGCACTAGATAATAGAATTTCCGTTGCTTTCATCATGTTCTCTGTTCTTCAGGTAGGGAAAACTTACGAACTGCTCAACTGTGACAAGCACAAATCCATGTTGTTGAAGAATGGACGGGACCCAGGGGAAGTCAGACCAGACATTACCCACCAGGTAACTGTGGCGGTAGACCCCCTGAGCCCCTACAGAAGGCAGCGAAGCTTCTGGTTTCAGGCTTCACTGTGCCTTGCTCTCTCCCTTCCTCAGAGCTTACTGATGCTGATGGATAGCCCCCTGAACCGAGCTGGCTTGCTACAGGTTTATATCCACACACAGAAGAATGTGCTGATTGAAGTGAACCCCCAGACTCGAATTCCTAGAACTTTTGACCGCTTTTGTGGCCTCATGGGTGAGAATAAACTCGGTCAAGTGAAGAGAGAAAGGGGGGGAGGGGGAGAGTCACATGCTCAGTCCTTCAGCTGTGGCCAGCTACTGCCACGACAGGCCCCTGGGATCTGTGTGAGGATTAAAGCCATCTGAGCTTGACAAGCTTGACAGTGTTTGTAACATCTTAGATAATAGAGTGAGGATATAGAGGACATACGGCCGGCCTGGTTTTCCCGGGGGTTCTGTGCAGATCACTGGGCAGAAGAATATGGTTTCTTCCCACTTCTGAACTGTTGTTTTTCTAATTCCTAGTCCAGCTTTTACACAAACTCAGTGTCCGGGCAGCTGATGGCCCTCAGAAGCTTTTGAAGGTGAGCTGGGGAAACCTATGGGTAGGTTTTGGGGCTGTTTCTGGGGCTGACTTTGCCGTTTCTCTTTAGGTGATTAAGAATCCAGTGTCCGACCACTTCCCAGTTGGCTGTATGAAAATTGGCACTTCCTTTTCCATGGCAGACGTCAGTGACGTGCGAGACATGGTGCCCAGCAGCGACCCAATTGTTTTCGTGGTCGGGGCCTTTGCCCATGGCAAGGTACAGTTCTTAGGTTCTTCATGGAGCTGAAACTCAGTGCAGGATACCATGAGCATTACAAATCCCTGGTCTCACAAATCAGGAAGTACTGGGAAACAAGTGGCAGTTGCATTCCTGCCCCAGCATGGGTTCTTCATCGACTCTGGCATGTCTCTAACAGATTGAGCTAAAATCTCCAGTTTCTGTAGAAGTTTGATATTGAAGGACACTGCTTTTGAGACAGGAGCTCTGCGCTCAAAGTTGGAACTTGCTACAGGGTAAGAGTTGCCTGACCAGACCCTTCTCTCCTCATCAGGTCAGTGTGGAGTACACAGAGAAGATGGTGTCCATCAGCAACTATCCACTTTCCGCTGCCCTTACCTGTGCCAAACTTACCACAGCCTTTGAAGAGGTGTGGGGTGTCGTGTGAGAACGGCAGAGCCTAGTTCTCAGACAGGACTCTTGGCTTTTGGTCTGTTGACTCCTACGATATGTCTGCTGGAAGAAAATCTTCTGTACCAAGATGGTAGAGTAGGAGCCAACACTATATTAGTTTTTTGTTTTTCCTATAAAGACTGTGCTTTTCTTTTTTGCAAACCTGACTGTTTTGAGGGTTCTTAAACTTAGCAGCACATGGTAGTGTAAACTGTCCCCCTTGGGTTCTGGTTTCCGGACTTTGAAGGTAGGAGTTCCTCATTTCCTAGATTCTTGTGCCTTCAAGGAGAGACCCTGATGAGCTCAGCTTCAGCAAGCACAGAGAACACGTATGAAAGAAAGCAGTCAGGGGTGCTAGCAGTGAAAAAACTGAACAAACAGAAGTGATTTTATCTGGTATAGTTCCAAGATAGAAAAAGTGGAGCAGGCAGGGCCTCGTACCCTTCCCTCCCCCCATGGGGGGGTGGCGGTATCGGCACGTATACAATCGTAGTAGATTGGCAGAAGAGAGACACAAGTTCCTGGCTAGAGGGAAGAGATAAGGCAACGTGCATGGGGGAGTCCAAAGGGGTTGAAGCCCCTCTGCTCCTCCCACAAGAGCTTCCCCTTTGGCCCGGTGAAGACTTGGCTGTAGCATCGGCACAGCTGGGAGTGCTGTGGTGACTTCCAGCTCCTGGCGTCTGCTCTCGGGTGAGGAGTGCTGTGAGAAGGGAGACAAGTAGTTTCTGCACCAGTCCAGCTTGCGGCCACCTAGAGGGCAAGACAGTAGTAAGAAGGTTGGCCAGAATGTCACCCTGTCCCTTCCTAACAAGAAAGCAATGTCCCACAGAGCACTCTCTAGTGGGCAAGCTATGTCCATCCACCGGAATCTCCGGTGTCACCCTCCCCACACTGCCCTTCATCTGTAGACTATTTACTTACCAGGGAAATCTATTATTCCCTTTTTTTTAACTTCTCTTTTCTTGGCACCATTGCTTTGTGAATGTAAGGCAATATGAATAGTAGGCTCAAGAAGAAGACATGTCCAAGGAAGTAGACAGACATGTATACCTGTGGAGACAGGCCGCAGAAATGTGGTGAGCCAGTTGTCTCTCACTACTGGAGGTTTTGGTGACTCTGGCAGCCCTGCAATCAGGTCTTCATTACCTTAAGCCATTTGTCCCATGTGAAGAGACAGAAGGCAGTCATGGAGTAACCCATGAAAAGCCAGTGGATGGTCTGCTGCACCAAGTAGTAGAAGGGCTGCAGGGCAGTGACGGAGGCCAGGCTGCTCAGGGTGGGGCTCTCCTGGATTAGGCTGGTGACCTGGGGTGGGAGGAGAGAAGTCATCAGTCCTGTCCTTATTCACGTCTGTTTCCTACCACCCTTGAGTCATACCTGCTTTTCCACAATAACAATGAGGAATTCCATCTGGAAGCAAATCAGGTATCCTGAGTGTAGGCCGTGCCAGAGGGCCAAGAACAGTAAGGAGAGGCCTTGTGAGAGTTCTTTATTTCCAAGAAACTTGAGGCGTTTGAAGATGTAACTAGAGAGGAGGGTGGGTAAAGATGAACCTCAGACTAGACTCCTGCTCCTGCGGCTCAGTGCCCTGAGTGGAGTGCCGACGGGCTCCCACTTGTGGCCACTGAGGGTACTGGAAGCAGTGCTAACGGCCGGCTTGAGATGGGGGAGAGTGGTCATCAGAGACTCCAGGCTTAGATGGGTAAGTGTGAACAAGCCACCTGCTTCAGCAGGCAGAATCGAGGACCTGCTGAGTGCCTGACACCAAAGGTGTAGTGGTGCAGGGTTATGCCAGTGATGGGACTGTCACCATGACACTGTATATAGATGGCACTACAAGGGAGGACATAAGCAATGGCAAGACCAGGATTTGTAGCCAAGTCTTGAGGCACGTCTACAGACTTATTTTTTTGGGGGGGGGGGTGCCTCTGAGAACAAAAGCTTAGCAGAATGCTAAGTAGGAAACAGAGGTGACAAAAGATCGTTGCCCTCTCATCAGGGAGGAGGAGCCTGGGCGCAGTGTTCCCAATGCTTACCGGGCTACCCAGGCATTGGTGTTGATGTTGAAGGAGGCGATGGTGCCGTTGAATCGAGGAGTTGTTTCAAAGAGCCACACTTTCATGTTGGCACACGCGTCCCATTTTGCCTTCCCATTTTCTTCAAAGCCATTAAAGCCCAGCCCCGACAAAATGCACACTCCTTCCTGAGGGGAGGGACAGCTTACGGTTCTTGTCACTCTACCCTCCCAGCCCGCCCACCTTGTCTAAATATGACTTATTTCCTACTTACTGTGACCAGCCAGCAGGTGACGTATTTGTACAGCACAAACTTGCCCCAGACTAGCATGTACGTGCAGCGGAACCAGAGAGGGCGGCGCTTGAGGAGAGAGCGTAGGAGCGTTAAGGAAGGACGGCACAGCCCCCCAGATATTTTCAAACCTGTGGCTGGCTTCTTTACTCCAGTCAGTTCCTGATGCCACACGTGCTATGACAACATAGCCCTACCTGTCTGTAACAGCCAAAAGGCACCAAAATCCATCTACCTTGTACTTGGCAGAGTCTAGGCATTTATACTGCCTGTACAGATGGACCTTGTATATCCACAGTCTGTTAATTTTCAGAGTTAGCTACCCAGAATGGATATGGAGCTTTGTTGGGGATCCCTATGGGGTCTGCTATTCTCCTCTTATCTAAGGATGATCCTCAGTGCCCTTAGGGGCCATTGGCTGTATTGTGGCTAGGTGTTACTTCCTAGTTCCCTCCTTCTGACTAGGCCTGTATGCAAGGATGCAAATTATCTGCCCATTGCAGGGCAGGTGTGTGTCCGGCGGGGGTGTGAGAGCATGGACTTGGATCTGAGTAAACTCCCACTGTGGCTGCTATTGGTATTTAAGTCAATCCCCCTCTGAAAATAAATGGCATTCTCCAGCACTCTCCTTGCAAGAGTGACCGGCTGTCTTGTCTTTATTTAATCCTCAGGTTTCCTCACCGGGCCTGCTGCTGGCTGCTACGACAGAGCTTTTCATTGGGACTGGAGCAAAAGCCACTTTTCCCATCCCTCTTGGAGCAAGTCCCTAAGTCTGTCAGTTAAAATAGGCTGCAGAGCCACCAGCTGCTGCACTCCAAGAAGTCACCTGGCATAAAGCAAGGCAAAGGCTGTAGCGAGAGTGCTAACATGCACCTGCACTGCCTTGGACCTACGAATGTTTGTGCTGCTGAAGGCCTGGGTGGCCCTGATACCCAGAACAAAACCCAACACTCATCTGTAGGTGGCATGGCCTACTTCTCTCATCTGTAGGGGTCTCTCTGCTTCTTTCTCCCTTTCTGTGAGGCAGCAGTCACATTGGCATGCTGAGAGCCACTCACATCATAGTCTTCGGTGAGAAGATAGTCTTCTGTGATGTGGGGGCTCAGCAGGGTGTAGCCCACCAGGTAGACAAGGCCCAGACTCAGGCGCTTGAGAGCAGGTATGGTGCTGGAAAGGAACAAGTGGGGTCACACACAGCAGAGCCTCGCCCTTCACCCTCTGACCTGCAGTCACGGAAAGGAGCGTTTCAGGGTGTGCAGGGCAGGGTCCCTGTGCCCAAAGCTGTTTCCAGAGAAGAGCTCTGTGTGCTTGCTAACTGCAATCCTAGTTCCAGGCCTGAGAGCAGGAGGGGGCAGTGTGTGGGAGCTTGCATTAACCCTCAGAGCACTGGGATTCTCACTGGGTGGTAACACTAAAAAGCCCATGTACAGAACAACTCGCAATTTCAACTCCTCTTGAAACTCAAGGGGAACTGAAGGAATTCTAGTGGCTTTTTTGCATTACCTTTTATTAAGTATATACTTTTGTATATTGAACAGGGTCTCCCTATTTAAGAGGAGGGGTTTAAAGGGAGGGGTGAAACCCTGAGGCATTTCTATATGTACTTCTGTCAGCAAGCATGGCTGGCGCACAGTCTAAGCTGAGGAGTGTGCAAACATTGCCCACGTGACACTGTGTCAAGGGGCCAATGTGCTAGGGTTGCCCTTTAAGAAATGAGTCACTTCAGAAGTGACTATGGGTGTGACACCCACACAGAGGACTTGACCAGGAGGGGCAGTTACCTGTTTGGTATCTTCCCTGGCATGTCAGTCAGCTGTCCCTGCACCAGCTTCATGTAGTGGTTCATTGAGAACTGGGGCCCTACCAAGAAGGCTCCATAGAAGTAGGAGAAGCCAGCAACTTCCAGCAGGGAAGGGACACCCCGAATGGCATATTTCTGTTGCTCAGCGGTCAGGGAATCCTATGCCGAGAAGAGACCGCACGGTTCAGGAGAGCCTTGAATCTTACCCAAGAGCCAGTCTGAGCATTCCCAACCTGTGCCCCACTGCCTGGAGCTCTTTAGTGGGGTGGGGGCGGGAAAAAGTTTCTTCATGTGGAAATGTGTGGGGTAGCTTAGTCAATGGCTGCCTGTGGTTGCTGTGACAAACGCCTTGCTGGCATTGATCTCTGGACTTTGTGCAAAACCTGGATTTTGCACAAGTTGCCTTGGTTGGCCCTTGCCCAGTTGCTGTCTGGAAGATCGCTCACAGGCTAGGGAGTGAGGCAGAGGCTCCACCCTGGTGGCAGGTCCAGTCTGTTGCTAACAATGGCATTTCTCCTAACCTCGGGTTAATCCTTAGCCTCTCTGCCAGAGTGGACACTCACCCTGTCTTTGCCTCCGTCATAGTAGTCAATACACAGACCTGAGCAGAGAGAGAAGGAAGGGGAGGGAGAGTAAACATGAGGGTGTGGTCTGTGCACAGACTGTAGCCCAGCACAGTATGGTTTATTTTGGCTCTGTGGGGGAGGGGTCCAGCGGTAGAGGAGGAAGGCAGTACCCTTCCACTTACCAATTAACTTCAATGTCAGGACACAATGTGGCATTGTCCACTTGATATCATAGTCACCAGTGGCTGTGTAGTAGTATCCAGCAAGAAGGTAGGCCTAGGAGAGGAGAAGTCTTTACTTTTCTTCCTTTTCCTCCTCCTCCCCACTGTGTTTTTCTTTCTTTTCTTTTTTGGTGGTGGTCTTTGACCTCCAGCTCATAGTTCTCCTGTCTTAGCCTTCCAAGTCTATGTCACCACTCCTGACTTCTTAATTTTCTCCTTGCTCGGAATCCCCTGGATTTCTTCATTTTCCTTTCTTCTGGTCCCATCATTTAGAACATTAAGAAGTTCCTATGAGCCAGACCTGCTGGTGCAGACCTAGAATCCTGCCACTTGAGAGAGACCCAAGCCAGTTTGAGCTAAGGTTTGAATCTGGCCTCGGATACATAGTGAGACCCACCTCAATAAACAAACAAACCCTACACATATTTTTAACATCTCAGTGAGGATGGACTTGCTTAGGGTGACAGATGGACCTTACATGCTTAGCTCCTTCTAAATTAGTTTTCTGTCTTGCCTTTGAGTGACTGCCCTCATGATCAGCTGGACTAAACCTGGTGAAAACCAAGGAACCCTGATGGCACCATCCTGAGGCCAGGAATGAGTTACTGTTGCGACCTGCCCACAGCCGGATTGCCGTGTGTTGGGAGGAGGGATTACAAGCCAGATCTCCTAGGTCATCATGCTACCACCCTGCCTTGCCTTGCCCCTCCCCACACCTGTCAGCTGTGACCTGAGCTGCTATGAGAACCATTTACCATCTGGAAGCAAAGGGTGGTGAAAATGGCAGTGATGGTGCGGCCCATCATTCGCAGGATGAGGAACTGTAGCACGATACATAGCAAGGAGTGGTAGATCTGGTGGCCTGGGTGCGGAGAAGAGAGCAGCAGTCAGGATCTTTGTGCCCACTCATCCTCCTCAGAGGCCCAACCACAAAGAAAGAACACAGAAAGCAATGCTGGAGGGTGGGGATGTGGTTCAGTTGGCAGAGTGCCTGCCTAGCACTCAGGAAGCCCTGGGTTCGACCCCCAGCTTCAAAGGAGCAGACACGGTGTTCCAAGCCTGGAATTTGGGAAGTAGAGACAGGAGGATAAGACCATCATCTTCTGTCTCGTCTGAGGGCAGCCTGGGCTATAGGAGGCTTTCTCAAAGCAAACGTTATGTGTGGGAATGCCATGGTAAGCATGGGGGATCAAAGGGCAACTAGAGGGCGTTGGTGATCTTCCTCTACCATGTGAGAAGGTCACCACGTGCTTTTACCTGCTGAGCCATCTCACCAGCCCCTAAATATGGTGAATATTAATATCATTATTACTTTTGAGACAGGGTCTCACTAGGTAGCCCCGATTGGCCTGGAACTCACTACGTAGATCAAGCTGGTCCTCTCCTGAGTGCTGGGATTAAAGGTGTGCGCCACAATGCCTAACACTAAATGTACTTCACAGTTTCTCTGTGTAGCTTTGGAGCCTATCCTGGCACTCACTCTGGAGACCAGGCTGGCCTCGAACTCACAGAGATCCGCCTGCCTCTGCCTCCCGA